ATAAAAGCCTTTAATCATAAAATATTTTGAAATGTTTCCAACTTGCAAAGGTTTACTAGTTTCTGACAATTAGATGTAAAATCAAACTTCCATTTCTACTGTAACTGTAATGCAAAATTAAAATGTACATTCTAGATGTACAGGCAATGATTGTACAAGAACATTATCAGAATAAAAAATAATCTCGTATCCTATTACTACCTTATTTTTCCTATTATGTAAATAGATTATTTTTGCTTATATTCTGCATCAGGGGTCCAGTAATATAAAACTGATACATGCAGGATGATTTTCAGTGAAACCTCATGCACAAAGAATTAAAAATGAAACTTAGAAAAATTAATTGTGTGTTACAATTATAACCTATCTGTTATTCAACATTAAGCATACTTTGGTGCAAGGTGACTCAAGGATGATTCATTTGTGGGGGGAATAGTAACTAGTACTAGTACTAGTAAATAAAAAGTTCTACTATCTTGCAGTACTCTTCAGAAGAAACCTTCAGAAACTAGAATTTTTCACTACTCATTTAGAACAAAAACTATTTCTTTTGGTTGAGCAATTTGCAAATTTATTGCTTAAATACTCAATTGTCAATATTATTTGTAAGCACCTAACAAAGCATTGGCTTCAGGCTCAATCCCACTTCAAAGTACCAATATTGTCCAACAAAAGGGAACCACAACATCATGCCTTCCACTCCCAGAAGGATACCACAACTGATAGTATCAAAAGTCACTGAAACATCAAGAACAGCAGGATGGATATGCTACTCCATTCTGAGCCCACGAGAGGTTATTGGCAAGTGTGATCAATGCTATCTCATTACTACAGCCAATCCTAAATCTTGATTGAAATGGTCCAAATAACCTTTTCTAAGCCCAACCACCTTACAGAGTTATTTTGGGGAAAATGAAAGGAATAATGTTCACCACTTTAATTTATCTATAAAGTAATAAAGACAGGATTAAAAAAAAACAAATCAAAATAAATTTTCATATGTGTAGCAGAGGCTTTAATCCAATAATTACATCAAAAGAGTTTCACACAGCAGATTCTCCAAACATTACATATTTAAATACTGTTATGAATCATAATGGTGCAAATTATAGGTTGACTTATGCTCATTTTAAATATTAGCAGTTATCCACAACTGGAAAAAAACAAAGACACTATACCCTTAAGGAGAAGATATTACAAAAGTGAAAAAGTTCTGTTAGGCTGCCTATTACTGTCACTAGTTCAAAGACAAAAACATCCCCACCACAAATATGATTTTTATGGTGAGTCACTCCCTTCGTCTTCTTAGCATCCCTTCCTAGTGCTCTTATTTGGGGGACAAAAAAGGACTTTACTGTCCCCCCCCCCCCCCCCCCCCCCATATAGTCCTTATAACAAATTAAGCCACTTTTTCCACCATTTCGATTTCCAAGAGCAGTCATCCGAATTTTTGTGGCTATTTTTCCTATACTGCCTAATATAGGACCAAGCTGAAGTTTGCAGTAGTATTACAAGTCCTCCCTCTATCCGCCTCAACGCCCTTCAGTGGTTACATCCACACAACCATCTTATTCATCACTAACTACGGTTTGTAAATTAATCAAATACTAGGGATCGCATGGCATGCGCTTAACATGGGATGCACGCCAGGCGGAAATATGGATAGCTAACTTGTTAGAGGGCTTAGCAACGAACGCTTAGCAGTACCTTCTCCGCCTATTTTTACATGGAGTTGTGTTATATCGTCTTACCTGCGGGCCCATGGTCCACCACCCCATAACTCTTGCTTCACCCAGACACGAGTATAGCACTTCAACCCCATTTTCTTCACCTTCCCAAAGTAATAGTTCCGGGTTAGCAGCCACAATTATCTGCCATCTTGAAGCCGCTGCCCTCACTCATCTGAGGGCGTCATGTCAGCGAAAGGAAACAAGCCTTTTTCTAGCGTATGGCTGGGAAGGAATAGAATTAGTCCCGCCTCCGCACTGAAGTGGTTGGTTTCCGGGATCTCTTCAAAGGCCACATGACTTCTTGTGCCCACCTCCGCGTTCTATTCCAGTTTTTAAGCGCCATTTTAAAACAATTGAGGTCATTCTTCCGTTTTTAAAAGTTTATTTCCGCACATCTCAAAGCTGAGTCGCAAGCAGTGACTTAGCCCTCGTAAAAGGAGTGTTTGGGGAGAAGGTGTTCAGTAAAATGAAATGTTTGTTTGTTCCTCCCATATAGATACTATAATATACGGAAAGAAGAAACAGTGCGTTCTTTAATGTCGGCAAGAGTAATAAGAAGCAGAAGTCACTACCAGGAGCATCTGCTCTGAAGATTTATTACTGTGACCAGCAGTAGTAGCCATGAAAAACATCTGCATTAGAATGGATTTCTGGACTAGTACATTTCTAGAGGAAATACGCTACTTAGTATCTGTAGCATTTATTTTTGCCTATATAGGCATAGCTTCTTACAGATAATTTTGTAGGATGTTTGAAGCAGGGCTTCTGAACTTAGAATTTCAGCATCTTTTTACAGGCATGTGGCGCACACAGATGTTAGTAGGCGGACAGATGAAAATACAGTGCTTGGGAATTGTTTTTATCTGCCCAAATGAACTGAGTCATAAGGTTCCAGAAATTAAACTAACTGTGAAGTCTTTGATGCTCTCTGAGCTTGACTATTTACTTGCCGATGTTTCATTACCCAACTCCATAGCAACATCTAAATGTGGAACTTGGTCCCTGTTGTATACAGTACCTTCCTCTACTATTTGTATATAGAATACAGTAGTTTGTATACTGTAGTTTGCCATTACCTGTATAGCTAATCCCAGGGACCAAGCAAAATGATCAAATTAAGTGTATATAAAAGCATACATTCTTGTAAGCTCTGATAACTAAATGTCATCATTCTGTGACATTTAACACCCAAACTTTTGTTGTTGTGGACCTCTCCATTTTGGATAACGTAATCCTCATAAGGGATACAGTGGCTCAGTAGCAAAGATGCTGAGCTTGTTGATCAGAAAGGTCAGCAGTTCGGTAGTTCGAATCCCTAGAATGAGCTTCTGTTACTTGCCCCAGCTTCTGCCAAACTACCAGTTTGAAAGCATGTAAAAATGCAAGTAGAAAAATAGGGACCACTTTGGTGGGAAGTTAACAGCATTCCATGTGCCTTTGGTGTTTAGTCATGCTGGCCACAGCCACATGATCACAAAGATGTCGTCGGACAATGCTGGCTAGAGCCAGAAACAATTAGTACATATGTGCAAGGAGAACCTTTACCTTTTAATCCTCACATATACCATAGTCATTAGAGCCCAAAACTTGGTGTACCCTTCATTTAGGAAGTAATCATGTAATTAATTTTTCAGCTGAAAATTTATTGGCAAGAATATATGGGGCAAAATTCTTTAAACATTTTAAGGGTTTTTTTCCCCACTGCTGAATCAAATGTCACATAGCATTGTATGTAGAGCTCTTGAGTCCCAAGGCAAGCATCTCTGAGGGTCCCCCTAGTAGTGAGAGGCTTAAGGCACCAAGCCCCCTCCCCAAGTTGTAACAATTGAGGGTAAGTAGGAAGGAAAAATGAAAGAGAAGGCTCACATAGCTGTTTCTTTTCACTGTAGCAACCTTGGGCCTGAGGCATTTATGCAGTCCAGTTTGCTTGGTTTATCTCCCCGTCTTTTGCAAGGAAGGAGGAATATGAGAGTGAGAAGAAGACTGTAGCCAGGAGCAGTTGATGGGGTGGGGGAAGCCAGTTTAGTCTAATGGATAGGTGTTGGCCTAGAAACCAGGAGACTGTGAGTTCTAGTCCCACCATAGGGATGAAACCTAGCAGGGTGATTGCCCAATCACAGTCTCTCAATCCAGCTATTCACATTCCCTTCTTGCTTCTCTCAAGCTCTTCTACAGTTCCTACCAGGGCCCTGCATACCATATCTAGGCTGAAAAATCTGAATACTGTAGTTACTAGATATGGCTACAAAGAAATACAGAAAACCCTAGCTCTTTGCTGCCATTTAGAATAGCTAGTCCTTGACTTACAACCCCAATTGGGACCAGAATTTCTGTTGCTAGGCAAAACAGTTTTTGAATGAGTCGGACAAAATACTACCTCTTTTTGCTACCATTAATAAGTGAATCACTTGATCATTAAGCAAATCTGACTTCCCCATTAATTTTGCTTGATGGAAGCTGGCTGGGAAGGTTGAAATGGTGATCATGTGACCCTGGGACACTGCAACTGTCATAAATACATGCTGGTTGCTAAGTACCCAAATTTTGATTGTGTGATGCTGCGGTAGTCGTAAATGCAAGGATTAGTTGTAAATCACTTTTTCAGTGTTGTTGCAATTTTGAATGGTTGCTAAACGAATGGTTGTAAACCAAGGACTGGCTATAGCCATCCAAATTTTTGCACTCCACATCTGGTAGCCCAACCTGCATGATCAGGTTTATTGAAGATTTGGGACAAGGAATGAATTGGCAGGGAAAAATCAGTAAAATCCAAAATGGTTCTCTCCATTATATTTATACCACCTGCCCCATCCAGTTTTCAAGAGTTGGAAGAAAATGATATAGCATGATAATTTATTGTATATATAATATGTCTCACCAAACTGAATTTGTCTAGATGTGTAGTAATGATCTGAGAACAGGCAACTATCTATGCTATGTAACCATTTGGAATAAATTAGCCCGTAGGTTTTTAGAGTACCACATTCTGCCTTCCCTTGGAAAAGAAAAAAAATCACAAAACAAATTTCATTTTTGGAAATCATGAAATATATGGAGCTTCACTATGCAACTCCATATATATTTATTCAGAAATACAATGGAGTTCAGCAGTTTTTGCCCACAGGTATATACAGGATTGCAGCCCTCATTTGATCAATGAAGTCAACAAACTGGCTGGGAAGCCTTGATTTTTGGAACAAGTGACCTAAGGTCTTAAATATCATTAAATATTTACCTAGCTTTGGCAAATTGACTGTCAAAATTTGCTCATATGACTCAGGACTAGAAGTGCTGCAAAGGAGATTAAAAACAGATTTATCAAAGTAAGGATATTTTAAAGTGACATTTGACATTTAAGTTATATATTAAGTTTATCTATTTCAAGCAGTTTAATTTAAATTTTATAATTTGGTTAATTTACTTTATAATAGAACTGAAATTTGAATGCTAATTGAATCAACATTTTATCTGTGAGAATAACTTGATAAATAACACCTAGTTTTGCATCTTAATACAAATATTAAATAACTATTTTCTTGCTTTCTATCAATAGAATATCAATAGATAGAGATCTGCTTCTGTTTGCACAATTTGAGAAGGAAACTGCTTCATTTTTTGTTTTGTTGAAGAATGGCTTTGACAGCTTTTCAAATACCAGCATTGCTTCTTGTTTTTCTGAGTTTTATATTTTTACTTACTACTACTGCATCCAGCAATTGGAGAATATCAAGTATAGTCAATACTACAAATTGGAAGTATGAAGGTCTGTGGATGAATTGTGAAGCTACTTCATTGGGTTTCATTCAGTGCAATACATTATACACCCTGTTAAGTTCAGACAGTAAGTTGTGTTTTTATATATAAAATGATGGGTTGCTATTGTGTTTTTAACACTATGAAATTGTAATATATTTACTTAATATGTTATCAAAATACATGAAAATATTTATACAGATCTATACATTTTCATAGATTCATAGAATTCATAGAATTCTCTAGTTTAATACTGGGTTGAACTTATTTGTTACTGAAAACACTGACAGTGTTGGAAACAACATATAGAAATAATACAGTTTGTCTGCATTTGAGTCATGTCAGCACTGCCAGTAGATAGAGTGGAAAATTACATATACTCTCTATTGCTTTCCTTTTCTTTGATGTTTGAACATAGGTCTGTGCCACTCTCTCTATTTTCTGATGTCTGTCCCATGTGTATATTTTCTGTTTTGCATGTTTTATTGATCTTTTTAATATTAGATGCTAGAAAAGGCTTTAATTATTCCATCCTTAATATGCTGTAAAAGACTTCAGAACTTGAATTTCAAAGCTTAGATTTATATAAACATTAAAATCAGAATCCTTCATGGAAACCACTGAAGCTATTAAAATATATTTGCTTTACCCTAGAAAAATAAGAAAAAAATGAAAAATAAAACAGGAAAGAAAAAATAAATTAAAAAAATATCCCAAAAGATATCACAATAAATATAGAAAAAGTATCATTTTACTCCATTGTCATAAATCTGAAATAAAATTGTCTTTCCATAATAAAAAATAATCTTTAATCAAATCCTATGAACAAGCTTATGAATATTTGACCAGAATAGGACATTGTGAGACAAGCACATATTATGCATGTAAGTGTCCTCTCTGTCATTTTATATGTTCAGCATAAATATTATCTGAAACATCCAATAAATATGAAATAATCAGGTCTCATGCATTAAGAGCTTTGTGGATAACTGTCAACATGTTGAATTGAACCCAGAACAGAGCCAGTAGCCTACTGGCAACAGAGCCGAGGTTTATCATGAACTCATAGAAGCATAATTCCCTGCCCCAGTTTGTACTGTACCAGCTACAGCTTGAAAGGTCAATAATTTGGTGAAAGACATTCTGGACATTTCACAATATCGATGTTAAACTAATAAACAACTTTTAGTCCCACCAAAACATGCAGCCCACCAAGCTGCCTTGTATGTATAGCATGCTGGTATTTGTTTGTTTTTTGAAAACTGAACAAATCTGCTGCAGCCAAATGTTGCCCCTCCCAGGAAGGAGCCATCACTGCCTTGAAGATACATTTCCAAGGGCTTTCAGACATGTGGAGGCTATAGCAAACAGGAAGTGAGCTGCCACTGAGGCAATGGTCATATAAGGAGGGCTTGAATCAGTTCTAAAAAACTAATTTGAGAAAACGCCTGAAACAGCCCTTTTCCTAGTTCACACAACAATAAAGTGAGGGAAGACTGAAGCATGTTCGAATTTACAAGATTTTGTTACCATAGTGTTACAATAGTCCAACCTCTATGGCTGTGATGGCGCACCAATGGCACGCGTGCCACAGGTGGCACGCAGAGCCATTTGTGCGGCACACAAGCCCCAGCCAAACTTTTTTATTTATCAGCGTGGCCCTTTTATCTCTGCAAGTTGTGCAGAACTGTTATGGCTTATTAAGTTAGTGGATCAGTTTATTAAATATATACTGCTATATATATTTAGGATACTCAAGCAGCTGCTTAGAACTGTACATCACGTCAGGTTCAGCTGTACCTGATATCTACCTGCAAGGGCAAAGAGTGCTTGCATTGTCAACAGTACCACTTGCTGGCATGGCTGTATACCCCAGCAATACTGCCAACTTCTTTCTCTTTTGGACAGTCTGATCTGATGGCAGCAAGACAGTAATACATTTGAAGCAGGAAGTAAGGAGTGACTTGGCTCTGATGGATGTCATATTAAGTTTAATATGGCTGGTAGAATAGTGTCATCAGCCACTGCTAGAGTAACCATATAATTGTAATCCAGGCCAGAAGCTTGTTATTTTAAGACATTAAGGCCACTATGCCAAAGGGGTCCTCAAATATTCTAGAAGCTCTGAAATTGATGGTTCTTGGAATAGAACATAGTTATTTATAAAAGGCAGAGTAGAAGAGTTATTGACTGGGAGACTCAGGCAATAAGCTTTAGCATGAACCACTCTGGTATCATAAAATGTTCTGCTAGGGTCACTTGAAATGTTGGGAAATATTTTACTGATTCCTAAAATATAGCTAGCCATGACATTTAATTACATTCCATTTTATGTTTTGCTTCACTGAACAGCAATTGCCAAGGATAGTAACTTTAAAACCAATAAGTTTTCTTTTAACTTAGAACATATCTGGTTTGCTGTATTTCTCCCATTGCATCATTTTCAGAAAATTACCAGATACTGCTTAATATGAATTTCCTCAGATCTGAAACCCTAGCCGTCCTAGACTACCAAATGTAGGTAGACAGCATCATCATTCCTCAGGCAAAACACCCCTACATTGTTCATGGTGCCTTGTGATTTGGTGTGTGTGTGTGTGTGTGTGTGGTATCAATTTTTATTTAAAAGCAATTGTACAGAGACAGAAACAGATTCCAAACCTTTCTGGTATGCCTTTCGTTGATGTGTATGTTCACATATTTATTCAGTGAAACAATTTGCTGAATTGAAAAATATCTACATTTGAAGTTTATATTTATATTATGTTATGAAAAGAAAATAATATAAAAGTTTCTTCACTCCAAAGTGGTTGATCTCTTTGTGGAGGCATATTATTTGATTTACCTTCAGATTCTTGCCATTTCAAAGGAGTTATAAATATTAAAAATAAAACAAATAAAGAACATTCTATATAACCTTTTCTGTGTAAGAAATTTAAATTTGTATTTTGAGATAGAGAAATAGAATATAAAAATTTATAGTGCTTGAAATAAAAGGGGGAAAAAGCAATAAGTTTATGATGGTTGGTATTGATTTGTGACAAAGATATTGTCAGGATTCCTGTGATTTCCCTAATTAAATCATAAACCTCAAGCCAAGCTTCAAAAAACTTCAAAAGATTTATTAGGAGCAACATGCAGCATGACCTGTATGAAGCCGACTCTGAGACACATAATTTACAATCACCCTGTCTCTCCCCCCTCCCCCAATCATAATTCAGCTTCTCCGATGAAACACGTTCATTGGCTGGGTGTCATCACTCACATTCTCCAATAAAGGATTTTCAAGGGCAGAATATCAGGTTGCCTAAGTTACAATCTTTGTGCGATAAGCGTGGAATGTGCTTCTCATTTTATTTTCCATGTGCTCTGTCAGGTCTTTCCCCCCTTTCTCATGGTAATTTGGAAACAGGCATAGGAAAGTTTTACAAGTTGACAGGTATAGCTTTGTATAATAAAAGAGCATTCTGTTTGTAAAGACTAATCTCGTGTCCATGAAATGGGGAAGTTGTCTGATGTGTTAGTGATGTCATGCTCTGCATTAATGATTTAATAAAAGCATATAATCGATTATTTATGTATGTAATGTATCTAAACAAATTATCTGCTTACATACATTTAATAAGGTCTGTAGCAAATATTTCTTTATTTTTCTTCAGTGTTGTTTGCTTTTCATCTCCCCAAATAGTTCTTTAGAAGCAAAGCTATATAGTACGTTCTCTCTTAGCTCTTTGCTTCTTCCAGGTGCTTTAATGCTCCTGCTTTGCTGCTTTCATCAATTGAAATGTGCTGCTTACTAGATGTGCAAACACTTGTGAGATGTAAGTAGGGGTAGTGAAAAGTCCCATGATTAATTCAGTTATTGTTTTTTTTAAATCAAGAGAAAAATATTATATCCCTACCTAAATAACTCAGGCTGGGAATCTGCTTGAGGAAAAGGTTGTATATTCCTCAACTACATTATTTTTCTCTTTCAATGTTTTATTTATGCATCTTTCACAAAGCAACAGGAGTAGTGGAGTACATAGTAATTTGAAACATCATAATAGATAGTCCTGACTACAAGAGATACCTGAATATTAGAAAGCCAGAATGGCATTCTGAATGCTGTTCACTTTGCTTCCAGTCAAGTTTTGATTAATGGATGGATGAAAGGCAACATCCATCACTTGCTCTGCACTAAAATCAAAAACTATGGTAATTTTTTTTTTCTCCTGCAGCTTTTATTCAAATATGTCGAGCCCTGATGATTACATCCCTGGTGTTGGGGATGTGCGGAACTCTGCTGGCATTACTCAGTTTGAAATGCCCTCAGCTTGCTTTCAGTGATGAAAAAACAAAAGGAAGGATTTCCATGATGAGTGGAATGGTATTTGCTTTGGCAGGTGAGAAATCTTATATTATATGCATACTAGTCTGTACAAATCATACAGGTGCTTATAAATGTTAAGTCCTTTCTAGCAAAATATATTTTAAGCATGACAAAAAGACCTTGAGTGAGCCTTGAAGAACCTTCTTCCAATCCTTAAGCATTTGAGGTAGTTTTGTAGTTTCAAGGAATACGTCCCAAAGTCCTTTGTTTGCAGATGAAAAGTCTTATCAAATGACTTGCATGGCCCTAATACATATTGACAGGTAATTTTAATCTGTATTTAATCTGTATTGTTTGGCCAGGTCTTTCATCAATGGTTGCTCTCTCGTGGTATGCAGTAAATATCATAACTGAGATTTTTGATCCTTTCTATGCTGGAACAAAGTAAGTCAATATTTCTGTATATTTTTAGTTTTGTTTGGTAATTTTTTTAGCATTACCAAACTGCACAGAGGATTTAACTGTCTGTGGGTGATAATTCACATCTATTGTAATAGGTTTGACATTAAAATTGTGTTGGTTTCTTGTTATGTCTGTTCACAAAGATTAACACAATTAACAATAATGCTGTCATGCATTATTGCAATCTTTCTCAATAGGTCTGATCTTTATTCTAGATATGAAATGGGATATGCACTGTATCTAGGTTGGACTGGTTCCCTTCTTTCCATAGTTGGTGGGATCCTGTTGACATGTTCATCATGCAAATGAAATCAAAGGTATTTAAGATGAATTATTAATCTTTTAAAAATCATAGGTATAAATAGGATTTTTAGGAGTGCATTTTAAAGGTCCAGCTGTATACTTTGTCCAGTAACAAACCCGCCTATTTCCCATCTTTTGTGGAATATTTTTTGAGAAAAGGGATGTCATATCAATAAAATAATATAAATGCAGGGAATCATAGTGAAATGATGAGGCTTATTTACTGGCATAAATATGATTGGGGTATAAGGAATAAATTGATTATGTAGTTATAATCAATTTATTTATATATTATATTTTCAAATAAATGTCCAACTATCTTGATTTACACAGTAGATCATTTAGCTAGTGAAATAAATCTATATTAAATATCCTCTCATATTAACTAGGTTTCAACTCATTTAAAGCATATCAATTTTTTTTAAAAGCATATGGCAAATTAATGATAACAAAAAAGATTTCTCACCAAGCAGAAAAAGATAGAGAAATTAAGCATTAGAATCATAAGCCACTTCAAACAGCCCATAGGAAGAGATCCTTTACTTTATCAGGGTTTTTTCCGTTCTCATAGTAAAACCCTCCCCTTAGTAATCTCAGAACAACAGAGCATCAGGTAAGAGAAGATCGAGAAGACTGCTGATATTTGGATGGGGTAAAGCAGGTGGGAGCAGCTAAGCCCTGAATATCAATACAGACTCTTGCACCAGAGGTGGTATTCAGCAGATTCTGACCAGTTCTGGAGAACTGGTAGTGGAAATTTTGAGTAGTTTGGAGAACCAGCAAATACCACCTCTGACTGGAGATTTTACAGAATCCTTACCCTGCCACGCCCACCAAGCCACGCCCACAGAACCGGTAGTAAAAAAATTGAATCCCACCGTCTTGCACTCTCCTCGAGAACACCAAAAATTACCCCATGAAGTTTCCAATGCTCTACTAAGAGGAGGCAGATGATCAGACTTAATATTTCATTTGAAAGTGTGGAGCCATTTGTTTTTTCTATTCTGGAGATTCAAACTATTTCACATATCACATATCAACACACTGGTACAGTGTATACTTGGTATACTTCCTTTTATCCACAGCTAAAGATTTTAGTTTTAAACAAAATTGTGGGGGGAATGGTAAACTGCATAGGAAAGCATGGGCCTTTACAAGCATACTTACTTGCTTGCTTACTCACTTACTTACTATTTATTTATTTAGCAGGTGGCATATCATATATATTAACATTTCACCTAGATTAGTAAAACACAATAAAATCTAAATATGTACATAAAAGGTCTGTGTTCAAATACCAATCACATTGATTCCCAAGAATACTTTTAGATTCCACATAAGCTCCATATTCTCAGAAAATGAAAATAGTGACTCAGCCCAATGCTTTTATCATTTCTAAATTCCTTTTCCAGCCCCACCCCTCAAAAATGAAATAATATAAGAACATTACAGAACTAGACAAATGCTGAGAGTAGCCACAGCCTCCACCTTTAAATAAACTGTTTTGCTCTGACTACATTTTGCATTTTCTGAAGGGGCATGCCACTTATCACAGTTATTTTTATGCTGCCAGGATGCCTATTTTCCCATGATCCAAAAAGATTTTAATTTTCTGGTCAATACTAGTCTTGTAAACTAAAATTATGTTACATCTTTCATTTTCATCACCAAAAATATAAGCTGCTTAGTTAGACCCGAAATCAGGCCTAATTACTGTATATATTTGTCTGATTATATATTTAGTTTTATGTATGTAGATTTTTTTCTGTTAGCTATCTTGATTGATGAGGGATAGAAAGGTGGGGTAGCCAACCACATTATATTTGCATTGTAAACTTGAAAACAGCTTAGTTTTACTCAGCTACATCTATTTCATTCGATTATTTGCATAGAATGTATTATTCTTAGTTTCACATTTGTTTGCAGTTTAACAATATGGAGTGTCTATGGTTTGATACTATCTATCTAGCTCAATTATAATAAACAAAGGAAATGTAATATATTTATATTTTTAATTACAGTGAACATGGATATCGTTATGCAGCTTTCAAGAACAGTTAATGAGCCACAAATTTACATCAAACAGGTGAAGACAGTCACACCTGCCAAAGATTATGCTTAACTAATATTTTAGTTAAAATGTAATTACATTTGCTAAGCCATTTCAAACAATGCTATGCAAACTTTTCAAAAGGAGCACTTTGCAAAGTATGCTAATGCGTACAACCCATATCTCCTTCAAGTGTTAAAGCATCCATTGCATCTTCTGGAAGGCTTGCAATAGCTATTGAAAAACCTTCGCGGTTCCCTGTAACTCTGTATGTGCACATTCAACACAGAAAAAACCAGAAATAGCTCCTGAGGCAGCTGCAAAGCATTCTAAATAATGAAGTGCTTTAATATTTCATGGAGGCGGGGCTTCACTTACGCTTACAGAGTTTGTGAAGCATCTTTGTCTAATGCTTTGGCAAAGCCCCAACACATCTTTTCCTCTGTAACACCTACCTTAGTGTGCTCTCCCATTTGTGTCTATTCACAGCACTATGCCCTAGCAATAGCTGGTGTTGCCATCATCTTATTGTCAATCAAAAAGTTTAAATTGTCCTTAGCTGTATTGGTGTTAATGTTGTGTTTTCCTCCTATTCTTACACTAAGAACATACTCAAAATGTGAAAAAGAAAATCTGTTGGGATTTGTAAGCCACACTGATGAGCTTGGGGGAAGGCTCAGGAAGGGATTTGCATGTGAGTCAGAAAACAGAAGTTTTCTGCCCACTCAAGATAGATGAATGGCTTTTCAGCTCAACAGTGGGGAAAGGCCCTTAAGCAGTTTATCATTTTAGTGCTGAATATTAGAACAAACATTATGGTATATTAAAAAATTCATGAAAATTATTTAAATCACATAATCATGTAAAATGACATACATTTCCTAATTTGCTAAATTATTTTGAAACTTTATAAAGATATAATTTGCAGAATAAAGCTACTTAAAATTCTGGAGGATTGAAAGTATATTAAAAACAGTATCTGCGAGGGAGCTAATTCTGATTTCTCAAGTATATATCAATAAAGATAGATTATAGATAGACCTGTCAAGTCATTATTGACTTCTAGGTATTGTATGGACAAACTCATCCTGTTTTCTTAGCAGCATTTTTGAGAAATCGCTATTGCCTTCTTCCTATGACCTCAAGTATTACAAAATCACACATGATCTTGTTTCTAGTCAATTGCATTTAATTATTATATCAACGTTGTTCTCAAAACAGAAGTGCCAGTTCTCCCTCCAGAAGATTTGACCAACCCATTATAGCTGCATTTAATTGATTATATTAAAAATTTAACAGATTTCAGAGCTTTGAATTATGCTTTATTGAAAGTTTTTTACAGAAGTTTTCAGCTAGTTTCTTACGACTACAATAATAAAGTAGCTGTTAAGCATAATATTTGGCAGTAGCAGGGCTTTTTTTAGTATATTAAATTTTAGTATATTAAATGTTACCCAGAAGCATCTTAAATCTTCCTCTTTAAAGGAATTTCACAACATTGTAATCTGAATCAATGTATTTATTATGTGAAATTGTATTTGAAGAAAGAGTTCTTTGCTGCTGTCTTTGCAAATGGTCTTCATATTTCTGTAGCTGAGACCAAAATCCTGCATTAGGCTCTGCCATTGGCCTGGCATTCTTCACAATCTACAAGGTAGGGAGAAAAGCACATTGCATTGATCATAAAGACTTTTTCTCCCAAGCCTTTTGTCCAAAAATTATAAAAAACATAGGATTCAATTGTTATAAGAAAATGTTACAGTTCAGTGGTAGAACAAGTATTTTGTATGCAACGGGTCCAAGAATCCCAATCATTTCCAAGAAAAAGGATAAAACAGCCATGAGAGGCAAGATGCCACCACACCCAAGATTTACTTCTAATCAGAGCAAAAGATGCTAAGGTAGAAAGAGAAGAAGTCTGATATGAAATAAGGCAACTTCGTGAGTGTTGCTTTTCCCAATAGCTGTGGCAAGTTAGAAGGCAGTTTGATAGAACAGTTTATTTTTGTTGGGGGTGGGTGGGTTGTTACTTCCCTCCATACTTCCTGCTTTTGTCATTTTTTAAAATTTTCTTTTTGGTGGAAGTCGATGACCTATGATTAGAGAGGCACAATCAGTGAACTTGGAGGGAAAGGTATGATTTGAATTGGATAAACTCAGATGCGTTAACTTTCTGTGACTTAGTTGAAGTGCAATTTGCAAATAAAGAAAAATATTAAATTGTGTTAGGCAAAGAATGAGGAATTTATGCCCACCATTTATGAATTGGATTGCATAGAATAAATTAAAGGTAATGAAATGATTTCAAGAAATACTAAGGAACACCACCAACAGCTCTTTCTAGAGTCAAAATTAAAGGCTGTACTAATTCTGGAGTAACACATTATTGTTAAGGTCAGAAGGTTGACTCAAGGATCTACATCTCTCATATCCACACATTTCTTTTTTAACATTGTTGCTCAGTCAAGAAACAACACAAAAATTGGACTCTGGTAGTAGATGAGGATTTACAGCATGAGTAACTTTGAATCTCGGGCTGGGAGAAAGTGAATTATTTTGCTCTTCATAGAAAAAAAAAGAAAATAGAGAAATAAGCTCCTTTCTCAGAAAGGAGCTTGCAAGTAAAAGTAGCATAGAAAGGCTATTTTTGAAATGTCTGGAATTAACAAAGTATTACACTACTTTACTATTGGAAATACAAATTTAAATGTAAAATAATTTACATTTAGTCTTCAGAGTTCAGGTTTTATAAGTTCCTATTAGAGTTAATCAGATGAGATTTAAATTAGCTATTATCATAATTCAATTGTGTTATGGTACTTTCATTAAGTTCCTTTATAAAACATAATGCTGAATCATTTTATTGAGATGGCCCATGTATTTCATCTAGTTAAATATTTAAGTATTTGTTTCATACACCACCAAAGTATAAGTCCATTTAATCAGATACAGAAGTAATTTTTATTTTCAGCATGCTCACAGTACCTCAAAGGCATCCTTCAGCCTGAGCTTTTGATGTTTCATCAAGTAAGCAGTGCAGATAGTTGCAGATCTGCTGCGACCATTTTTACAGTACACTAAGCAGTTCCCGCCTCTTTGGATGGTGTCTTCTATGGCATCACTGCAATGCTCAAAGTACTTATACAAGTCCTCTGAAGGATCATCAAAGACAGGGATTCTCAGCAATTGGCCTTGCTGAAAGCTTGGGAAGGGCTGTTGTCTGGAGACATTGATACAGAATGTGATTCTCTCTTGACTGAGGAGACTCTCACAGCAGGCTGACCTAGAATTGCTAATGAACAAAGAATCAGCAACCTTGCCGAGGGACAACATTTGGCGGTGAATGACAATATCCCAGCAAGAGAAGTACCGAAGATTTCTTGAGGAGGAGCTGAGAACAGGAAATAGGGGAAAGCCAAAAGTAGCATGAGGATAGATTGTCTGGATTCCTTGTTCTTTAACCATCTGTGTGCTGTGCTATTTTTATTCTGCTGGCAGCCTCAAGGATTATATTACAGACTGTTCCACCCTTCTCTAAAATTGCAGCAGATTGATTTGAGCCTGAGCATAGCCTCAGAATAATATTAGTAGTATTAAACCGGAAACAAAAGATCCTCTCTAAGATTGATGAGTTTACTGGTAGAGATGAAAATAAACAAGAATGAATAAACAACATGTACTTTCTGCGATGACCCAGAGTATATCAGAAATATAACAAAACCCAAAATGCAACTAAAAGTCCTTTAATGCCTTCAACTTGGCTTCACTGTTTAATTGTTCACAGTGGAGGAGTAAATTATTTTCAAAATAACATTTTAAAGGAAAGAAACACAATTCAAATTCAAAAAGCGGATAACAAAAACAAAAAACAAACTGCATTGAATAGTTTTCCATTGTACTGGAGATAGCATTCAGGCTTGGGTGATCAGTCTCTGCCTGTGATTGGACTGAGTCTGTCAAAACTTTGATGACACTCCCTCTGCTGCTAGGGACCTCAGTCAGCTTGTTGGACGACGCGTTAATTTTTTCTCCTAGCAAATTTAACAACTCCTTTCAAATTGATTGGAAAAGTAGGAATAAAAACATCAATCCTGAATTCTATTGCAAGCCAGAACCGGTCTACCACTTTGATAGC